TTTTTTTTTTCTGCCAGTCCTGGGGCTTGAACACTGTCCCTGAGCTTCTTTTTGCTCAGGGCTAGCACTCTACCACTTGAGACACAGCTCCATTCTGGCTTTTTCTGTTTATGTGGTATTGAGGAATCCAACCCAGGGCTTCATGCATGCTAGGCAAGCACTCTACCACTAAGCCACATTCCCAGCCCTAAGCATAATTTTTTTAAGGAATATATAGACATGACTAGTGTGTATAACTTAAGTAATATGAGGGACAAGCTGGGCAGGAATGGACCTCCTTCCTCTGAGGTGTGAATATCCCAAACAAGCCCTTTCTGATTCCAAGTGTGTGTTTATAGAGAGGTGAAGAACAGAGAATAGGAGAGATCAGCAGCTCACAGTGCAGAGTAATTCATTCTTACCGCAGGCCAAAGCTGGAGCTGACTTCCAACAGGCAATCTGGAAGGGGTAGTTCCATGCTCCTATCCCCACACAGACCCCCAGTGGTTCTCTTCTGGTATAACCAAAGGATCCACCTTGGAGCTGAATGTGTTCACCTAAGGGGAAAACAAAGGAGAAAGTAGGATATAGTTTGCTGAAGGATGGTAGTGCATGCCTGTAATCCCAGCACTAAGGTAGATTTGCAAGAATCTCAACTCCAGGGGGCATCCTGAGCTACCAAAAATCCTGTCTCAAAAAATAAATAAATATTTATACAACAGCAACAACAAAAAGAACAGAGATCCATGCTTCCCCAAGATTTTTATCAGCACATGTTCATCCTACTTAAATTAATATTTTTTCCTCCAGGTACTAGGACTTGAACTCAGGGCTTGAGTAGTGTCCCTTACTTTTTGCTCAAGGCTGGATGTCTACCACTTGATCTATAGCTCCACTTCCAGCTTTTTGTTGGTTAATTAGAGATAAGAGTCTCAAACTTTTCTGTCAAAGTTGGCTTCAAATTGCAATCCTCAGATCTCAGCCTGTTTAGTAGCTAGGCATAAACCACTGGTACCTTGCTCAATTCCCCAAAAAAAGTTTCCAGAGCCTCTTTTGGATAACTCAAATGAAATAAAAATGAGGGGAAGACTCAGTAGCAAAGAAGTGTGGGGACTATAAAACCTTGGACTTTTGGCCCAGCTGAGTCCTACTAACCATCAAATATGAACTGCTACAGGCTTTCTAAGTTGTTAGTCTTTTGCTAAATCCATCAAACAAACACACATGATGTGCTCCTGCCAGAACACGTACATGCTGGGTGATTTACATGTAGTAGCTCATTTAATCTTTAAAACAATCCAAGAGGTACAGGGCGTTATCTCCAGCTTAGAGAAGACAGGATAAAGTAAATCCTGTGCACTCAAATAGAAAGCAGTGACCCCAAAATTTAAACCAGGCCTGTGTTAACTCAAAGATGTTTTCTCTTCATCACTAGGCTCTGCTCCTCTAGATCTTGTGAGCAGAGAAAGGAAAAGGCTTACCAGCCATGGATCCAGCCAAGCCTGCAAAATATTCCAGGGTCTGCCAGCAATTTTCAATGTCTAAGCGGGCTTCGAAGATGGACTTCCCATTGTTGATGGTCTCCACATTGGCAATTTCATTTGTCCGCTCCTTTGAGTAAAACAGAAGACTAGATATAAGACACATTACCTTGCACACATAGAGGCTCAGGGACAGCACCCAGGCCCTGAGTTCAAGACCCAGGATGGGAAAAAAAAAATCATTCCACCTTGTCAAGCACTGGTGGCTCACATCTTCCAATCCTAGCTACTCAGGAAGCTGAGACCTGAGGATCAAAGTTCAAAACCTAGCCCAAGCAATAAAGTCAGTGAGACTATCTCCAAATTAACAACCAAAAAGAAAGAAAAAGGCAGAAGCAGGGCCATGGATCAAGCAGTGGAGTGCTAGCCATGAGCAGAAACACTCAAGTTCAAGATCCAGGACTGGCACAAAACAAACATGCCACCTTTCAGCAAATCTAAAATGGTTATTTTCCCATATTCACTTGACCTTGCTTAGGGGGCATCATGTGGTTCCTGGAAGCAAATTAAGGCAGCCAAAGTCTCAGCAGATCACACAACAATTTCAACACATCTGACAATCACAGAGGGCTGAGGGTTTTTCTCTATCACTTAGGCTGCATAATGCATGTGGGAATTTCAAAGATTCATGAAATTGGCGGGGGGGGGGGTGATTCCTGGGATTTGAACTCAAAACTTTACACTTACTAGTGCTTGAGCCACATCTCCAGCCCTTTTTGTTTTGTGTTTTTGGTGTGTGTGGGGGGATATTAACGGTCCTGGGACTTGAACTCAGGACCTAGGTGCTGTCTCTGAGTCTTTTTGAGCTTAAGGCTAGTGCTTTACCACTTGAGTCACAGCACTTCCGGCTTTTTCTGAGTAGTTTATTGGAAATAAGTCTCACAGACTTTCCTTCCCCAGCTAGCTTCAAACTGTAATCTTCAGATCTCAGCCTCCTGAGTAGTTAGGATTACAGGAATGAACCACTAGTGCACAGCTAGCTTGTTTTTCTTTTTGTGCTGGTCTTGGGCTTTAACTCGGGGCCTGGGCACTATCCCAGAGCTTTTTTGCTTTTCAGCTCAAGGCCAGCACCCTACCACTTGAGCCACAACTCCACTTCCAGTTTCTTTCCTGGTGATTAATTGGAGATGAAAGTCTCATGGATTTTCCAGCCCAAGATGGCTTTGAACTGCAATGCTCAGATCTGAACTTCCTGGTACTGAGTGGTTAGGATTACAGGTTTGAGCCACTGGTGCGTGCGTG